ACACTTTGGGAGGCCAAGGTAGGAGGATCACTTGAGGCCAGGAGTCTGAGACCAGCCTAGGCAACATAGCAAGACCCCATCATTTTAAAAAAAAAAAAAAGAAAAATTAGCTGGACATAGTGGTGCATGCCTATAGTCCTAGCTACTCAGGAGGCTGAGGCAGGAGAATCACTTGAGTCCAGGAGTTCAAGGCCTTGTAGTGAGCTATGATCACACCACTGCACTCCAACCTGGGTAACAGAGCAACACCCCATCTCTTTTAAAAAAAAAAAAAAAGACAGAGACATTCATACGTATATTACCTACTCTCAAAAGATGTTAGATATTAACATTATTCTCTAATGAGTTTTATGACATTTGCAGTGATTCTGTTTTATGCTTTCATTGTTTTAGTATCTTCTTGGATATGGTAGTAACAGTTAAGGAACTTTATATATTTACGAAGACCCTTCTATCGTGTTGGAGCATTTCATGCATATTCTTTTTTCTCACAGCCTTTTCAAATAGCATCTATCATTTTCCATACATGTTAAGCTAAAACATTTAGGAGCAGAAAGACTTACACCAAATTATTTTACCACTTGGTAGGAGAGCTAAGATGTTGAAGGACTTGATCACTTAAGGCATCCATAGCTATTTTTCTTGATACTCAGTTGTTATACTCCTGAGGATTTTAACTTGAGATGTGGAACAGCTTTCTTTGGCCATCCACTGGAAGCTGAATCATGTGTCTACAACATTTTGAGAAAAAGCATTCTTCTTTCTTAAAGTTGTTTATAGAATTTTTTTTTTACTAACCATTTATAAATTAAATTGTTATTTGAAGACTTACTTGGAGAGGTTCCTAATTATCCAGACTACTAATGTACATTGGTTTTCTTTTGCAGAAGCTGAGTATCTATGGTGACTTGGAGTTTATGAATGAACAAAAGCTGAACAAATATCCAGCTTCTTCTCTTGTGGTTGTTAGATCTAAAACTGAAGATCATGAAGAAGCAGGGCCTCTACCTACAAAAGTGAATCTTGCTCATTCTGAAATTTAAGCATTTTTCTTTTAAAAGAAAAGTGTAATAGACATCTAAAATTCCACTCCTCATAGAGCTTTTAAAATGGTTTCATTGGATATAGGCCTTAAGAAATCACTATAAAATGCAAATAAAGTTACTCAAATCTGTGAAGACTGTATTTGCTATAACTTTATCGGTATTGTTTTTCTAGTAATTTAAGAGGTGGATGTTTGGGATTGTATTAGTATTTTACTAATATCTGTAGCTATTTTGTTTTTTGCTTTGGTTATTGTTTTTTTCCCTTTTCTTAGCTATGAGCTGATCATTGTTCCTCCTCACCTCCTGCCATGATACTGTCAGTTACCTTAGTTAATAAGCTGAATATTTAGTAGAATATGATGCTTCTGCTCAGGAATGGCCCACAAATCTGTAATTTGAAATCTAGCAGGAAATGACCTTTAATGACACTACATTTTCAGGAACTGAAATCATTAAAATTTTATTCGAATAATTATGTGCTGAAATTTGAGTATCTGATTTTCTAGGCCTTCCCTCCTACCCCTGCCCAACCTAGATAAGAATTATGACATGTTCTGTGTCTATTGCTATTGCTATATAATGTGATGGTCAGGGACCATTTTGATGCAAAAATGATCTTTCAGCAGTACATTTGATGTTATTTTGCACAGGCTATAGGTTTTTGTTTGATGAGTCTTTCCAAGGAACTATTTTTCTCTGTTAGACAGTATATCAAGTATAAGGTAAA